TGACCAGATTCATACTGCATTTTGCCTGCCCTCTCATTTGTAGGAAATGTCCCTCACCAAGAACAAAGGGCTTATGCTTAATGAGAGGTCCCTTTTTTTTGGTACTGTTTCCGTTTCACGTTAGTTTCAGCAGTTAGTTCAAAAGGTTCTTCTCTTACATGTTGAAGTTTAAAGATATGAAGGGGCTCCTGAAGTTGACTCTCTATGTGTACACAAATACTATGGGTGACCATGTATTAGACAGGGATGGAGGCAGTTACACCAGTTTGGGCCCTTCTACATTGAAATGTAGGAACATTTCTGATGAGCTGTATGCAGAGGCAGAAGGGTCTTTTTGATGGGGTTGGGATCTGGGCCCCAGAAAGGAAAAACCCAGGACTTTCCCACTTGGCCAAATCTCTGGCTTTTGCCTGAGGCTACAATCCCATCAACTGGCCTTTCATTGTAGACCTCCCTATGGCCCCAGGTCATTTCTCCATTGTCCCTTGGCCTCGTGGTCCAGGTCCCTGGAATTCTATTACCTCATAGACTACTTGGCCACTCCTACATCCTTCCCATAGTCTTTCTGTATATAAGGTCCATCTTGTCTCCATTAAGATGCTCAGATTCTTAAAATCTAGCCACATCTGGAATTCGTATAATCTAGTCACTGCTTACCCATGTTCAGACTCCTTAAGAGTCTGCCCAATGTGACAATGTTCTAATAAACCTTGTCTTTGGCTGAAAGAAGGCTTGGGTCGAATTCTTTCAGGCAGAACCCGTGGGTTGTGATTTTGGGGTCCCAGGACCCCTAACCCCTAAACCGCATCATTTTGGGCTAGAGTTTCTGGGTTTTGTAAAAAACAAACAAACTTGACCTCTTATAAGAGACACCACCTTCTCAAATTGAACACAGTTTAACAAGGAATTCCTTCCACCCCCACCCCCACCCCAGCCCCAGTTCAGAAGTATTGGAAGGCTTCAGGAACTAAATGTTGACCATGAAGGATAGGACCAGGGGCTAAAAATTTCATAGAAAATTTGAAACTCAGATAATGCAGCTCCATAGGAAAATAAAGTAGCTAGTTTTCTTCAGCGGATCCTGGACACAATAAGTCATGTTTGATGTTATTACAGTTTGAATTCCCTTTCTCCCAAGGCTAAAACTTTACTCCTCAAAATTTGGTTTCTAGGTGATTCAGTAAATGTTTTAAATTGAAGGGTTTTACATTAAGTTATATCAATAGCCAAAGAAATTTTAAAAACAAGAACAAGAAATGATGCATTTCTTTGAAACTGTCTCCCTCATTCTTAGCCCTCCTCTTCCGTGCAGGATCTACAGATCAGACTTACAGTCAGACAGGCTCGTTCCCTTGTAATTCTCCATGTCATTATCTTTCAGAGCTCCAGCAAAGTCATGACCACGGGGAAGAAGACAAACCCCAGAAGAAGGAAGACCTTCATATTGTCCAAATAGTCAAAGTGCTCCAACTGCTGAGCCTGAACTGGACTCTGATAATTCATTTCTCTCAACTTTATCTTCTTCCTTGTTTGAGGGCTCTATTTCCCTAGCTATGTAGAAAAGGAGATCTGTTTAAAGCTACATTTTCTCCCTTCCCCTGAAGGTAGGAGACCTGGCACATGGAAGGGCATGGTGGTTTCCCTCTTCCCCTAAAGGCTAAATGAGAGGGGGAGGAACAGTTTCTGCTTTCTGACCATACTTGTCCAGCATCAATGGATCTGATTTACCAGCAAACAAAAATATGGTAGAGGGATGCCCAGATAAGTCAGTCAGCAAATAGTCAATAAACATTGCTACATACCACACACAGTGCTAAGTGGTTTTTTTTTTTTAAGGCAATTGGGGTTAAGTGACTTGCCCAGGGTCATGCAGCTAGTATCAAGTGTTTGGTCTGAGGCTGGATTTGAACTCAGGTCCTCCTGACTTCAGGACCAGTGCTCTGTCTGCTGTGCCACCTAGCTGCCCCAACAGCACTAAGTGTTAAGAGAAATAGTAGGCTAAAATTCCATTGCCAAAGGGCTAATCCTAGTTCAAAGCCACCGCTTCTACTACATTTTCTGGCATGCTTGCTCCATAGGTAAACAACAACTTACCTTCATCTTAATGCCACCAGGGGTTGAGGTCATTTGCATAAGACTCTGCTCATTGGCAGAGATTGATTCCTCAATGCTCCATGTCTGGAGTGAGAGGTGGTGTCCACAAGAGCTGGGAAGAAGAGAGATCTTGATATTTTGAATTCCAGCTTGAGAGAAGGCACATGGGTTTCCAGCTACTCTTTAGGAAGAGGGCCCTGAGGGAAAGAAAGGTTCTATGAAGAAGTCAACAAGGATGATAAGGAATAAGCTGTTAGATAAGGAGAGATGGAGGCCTAGAGAGAGTGTGAGAGGATGATTGTTAGAGCAATCTATTGAAGAAAGGAATGGAACCAAGTCTACAAAGAAAGAGCTCGATATTGGTAAGGAAAAGGTCCACTTTCTCATCAGAAATTGGAATAAAGAAGGAGAAAACGAGGGAAGATGACGTGGAGTTTTGAGATATGGAAAAGGGGAGAAGAAAAAGTTGGTGGTGATTGACTTCTCTTTTCTCAGTAAAGTATGAGACAAAGTACTTGGCTGAAATGGAGGGAGGAGGAGGTGGTGTGGCAGACTTGGGAAGAGAAGAGAAGGTTTAGAACAAGTGTTCTGGGGAGTGTGAAAGAGAATGAATTTGAGAAGGGTAAAAGGATTGCTTTACTCTAATGAGCACCCAGTGAAGACGATTAATGTTTGCCTCTCCTATGTTCTTCTCTTTCCCAATCAGGACATTTACTCTTCTTCAGTACTGTGTCTGCTCTTCTGTTCTGCACAGTCTTTCAAAGATCAATGGTGTAGTTATCATATTTAATTCAACAATTTGACAAGCATCTATTAGACATCTCCTATGGTAATAAAGTACAGGGAAGGATGGAAAGAGAATTGGTCATGTTTAGATAGACACATTTGAGAGGTTTTTTCCCCAAAGAATATTGTATAGTTATCTTTTGTTTCTGCATTATTTCTTAGTATAGCTCGTCTTCATTCCCCCATCCAGATAGCCATTGGGTTGATAGATAACTTGGAGCATCTACATAGAGGGATCAATGAACACAGAGTAACCTTTAAAGGAGGAGGATTTGCGGAGTGATGGCAGAGGGAGTGTCTGAAATTGGCAATGTTGAACAAGAAGTGAGTCTCCTTCTGGTCCAGTGTGGGGAGTATATGGGAAGGTGCATCCAGTAGGAGGGAGGGAGGCCAGGGATGCAGTGTCTTCTGGGAGTTCTCTGTGACTCTTAGAACATGGAAAGAGTAGGAGACGTAAAGGTCTAAGATGAAGGGAAGTTTGTAAATGATCAAATGAAAGAAAATTCAGAAGGAACTAGGAGATAGCTGAGAGAGCTGGATTGGTTTTTGAGAGGGGACATCTTGGGGCCAGGTAAGAATGAGAGAGTGGGGACAGGTAGCAGGGGACAGGGTGATTTTTATTTAGACAGCTAGGGATTCTGTGTAATGGGGACTAGGAGTGGAGGAGGTAGGAACTGGCAGGTCATAGAGGTGGGGATGTATTTACTGGGGCTCTTGCCTTTAAGAGTTTGGATGTGACTAAGAGTAAAGCCTGTTGTCTTTGAAGTACTAGGAAAGAAGTGATATTGAGCTTAGTGCTAGCAGCCCATAAGTGAGGTACTAACAGTAAGAAATCAGGCATCTGAGTCTTTCACCTTGATCCCTCAAGTAGAGGCTGTTGCTGAAGGCTATGATCCTGCCAGTAAGGAATTTAGCTCTTCAGCTTATCAAATTTTTAGAGAATACAAAGCTGAGAAGAATAGATATAATCTTGAATGATTGAATGAGGATCAAAAGGTCTTAGGAGCCTAGAATATTAGTTTTTGAGTTCAATTATTTCTTATTCTTCCTTGCCTCATCTAATCCATTCATAAGGTTTGCAACGTATATATCTATACCTATATCTATATCTATATTTATATTTATATCTACATCTAAATCTCTATCAATATCTCTATCTATCCATCTATTCATTGTTTGAACCTCACAAAGTTACTTTTCTACTTTGTGACCAGTAGCAAGCAGTTTTGATGATTTCTATTTCATAATGTAGTTGGAGATCTGGACATACTTTTCTTTCTTCATTCCTACCACTTAAAAATTATTTCCCTTGACATTCTAGATTATTTTCTTTCACCAAATTAATTTTGTTATTATTTTGTCTGTATCTATAAATCATCCCTTAGATATTCTGATTGGTATTTGACCATATCTGTATGTTGTTAAGTATATTTTCATTTTTATTAAACAATGGCCCAGACATGGGCACTGAATATTTCTCCAGAATAACAACATTTCTAAAAAGAAATTTGAGGGAAAAGGTCGTAACTTGGTATATATGTATGTATAAAAGTATTTATGTGTATATCTCTATACATTTAATTCAGATATAATTCTTTTTTTTGGTTTGTTTTGTTTTTTTAGACAATTGGGGTTAAATGACTTGCCCAGGGTCACACAGCTAGCAAGTGTCAAGTGTTTGGTCTGAGGTTGGATTTGAACTCAGGTCCTCCTGACTTCAGGGCCGGTACTCTATCCACTGCACCACCTAGCTACCCCCAGATGTAATTCTGAAATATAATCAGTCTCTTCTTTTCACACTTTGTATTATGTAATTGCCTAATAAAGATATATCCACTTTTCCTTTTTCAGTGTTTTAAATGGAATTTTGAAGAGATAGAGGTGAGAGTCAGTGCCAGGTCAGGATTTCACCTCACACACATTCACTTTAAGATGTGATCTCTGGGAACATGTTTTTTTTTTTCCCTAGAGCTGTAGAATTTCAGTATTCCTAATACTAAATTGTCTCTTCAGAGCCAAACCTGAATATCATGGAGGTTTCAGTTTGAGCTTTCCTAGAAATCTAAAGAATATAGCCAGGCATTAAACTATTATTATACATTAAGTCTTTTGAAAACTAGTTGCTTCAACTATTCCAATTTTATTTGAGAAAATGATCTTTTAAGAGAGAAAAATTCAATATTTGATTTGAAAAAGCTCCTTAATAGGCAGAGGAATCATCATGAGATGAAGGACGTAAAGGCGGCAGGTTACAGACGGCAACCTCTGAGATATTGGGAAACATCTTTTCCTTGGCACTTGTTTCGCCAGGCCACCCTGCAGAGAAAGGGAGATGAAACAATGAAAAAGTGAGCAAAACTATCCTTGGATAAATGTTGATTTTTGATATTCATGAATATGGAGACATGTTGTAATATTTATGAAATGCAATTATCTAGAAATGCAAATATCTATTTCAAAACAGAAAAAACTGTAAAAAATAAATGATTTTAATGGAAGTCACTCTTTGGGCCTTGACTTTTTCATTTTTAAAAAAAAGGATTGGGCTATTGGATTTCAAAGATTTCTGCCATGTCTGAAACTTCTGTGATTCTTAGTGTTGAGGCAACCAATAAATGAATCCACTATTCTATATTTTGAACAAACTAGACTCTTCACTATTTCCTGTTCTTGCCCCAATATCTACCATTTTTATGATTTTGATGGTGTCCCCTATGCATAGAGTGGTCACTCACTGCTGCCCTGCATTTTTACCACATAAAATCTCACCTCTCCTTCAAGACTCATCCTGTGTCACCTCCTTCCTGAAACTTCTCAAGATTCATCCAAGTGAAAGTGATCTCTCTTTTCAAATGTCAACTAATATTTTTTTCTGCATGTCTCCTTTACACCTAACACATTTAGCCTTCTTTCATTACCATGTGAATACTTATCTTTTCCTTCCTATTTGGTTGTAAGCTTCCTGGAGTTTATCTCAGGCATCTAATACTGGGCCTTTTGTTTCTGAAATGAATTTTGCAAACAGTATCTACTGAACACCTTAACCAATGCTGAAGAAATCAATGAAAAACATATTAATAGGACTTGAAGGAGCTTTCCTCTACCCTGGCCAACACCAGCTCTTATTATTATAGAGGATACCACAATCCTCCCATTTACCCAAACTTGCAACCTAGAAGTGATTGTTGACCCCTCACTCCCACTCATTCCCCATATCTTATCAGTTGCCAAGTCAAGTGTTTTTCACCCTTGTAATGTTTCTCATGTGTGTTCCCTTCTCTATTCTGATAGTTTTATCACCTGCTTGCAGGTTCTTATCATCTCACACCTGGATTATAATGACAGGCTTTTGGTTGGTCTCTCTCCCCTGAGTCTCTCCCCATTCCAGTCCATCCTTCACTCAACTGTCAAAAAGATCTTCCAAAAACACAGATCAACAATTCCCGTGGTTCCAAATAATCTCCAGGATCAAATTAAAAATCCTCTATTGGGCATTTAAAGCCTTTTATAACTTGGACCAAACCCACTTTTCCAGTCTTCTTATACCTTCCATTCTTTGCTGTACTCTACTATCCAAGGCCACTGGCTTCCTAACTGTGCCTTGAACAAGACACTCCATCTCTTAACTGCACAGCATTTTCTCTGCCTCTCCCCTGTGTCAGGAACTCTTTCCCTCCTTATTTTTGCCTCCTGGCTTCTCTGACTTCCTCAAGTCTCAACTGAGGTCCTATCTGAAGATAAATTGCATCTAAGTTCTAGGTTGCAGGAATCTAAGTAGTTTGTGTTGTATAGGACTATTGACATGAGTCCCATAGTGATTACTTATTGCCTACCAAATGATATCCAAACTCAACCTGGCTTTCTATTCCCTCCCAACTGGTACCTCCCAATTCTTTCAGCCTTATCTCATCATAGACAGCTTGCCTCAAGGGGGTATACTTCCATTCTTTTCTGTCTTCTGTACATACCTGTTGCTGCCTTTCCCCCTACTCTACTCAGATTATTCTTGATGCATAGAATGGTCCACTTCTAACCATTTGATCCTATCCATCCTTCTCTTAAGGTCCAACCTAATCATCATTTCTTTCAGTGAACTCCAGAATCAATGATTTCTCCCTTTTGTGCTTGGGTGGCATCTTACTTATTGATGTAGGGATCATTTTGAATTATAGCTATCTGGGTTTATGGCAAGTCTAGCTCCTAAATCTTAAGCTCCATGACATCAGGGACCATGTCTTATTGAATCTTTTATCTCTCTCAATACCTAGCACAGTACTCTGTAGGAATATAAGAAATGTTCTTTTTTAAAAGTTGAAGAACTATGTAGTCATGTTGCAAAATGTTTCAAATAAATTTTTATATAAATTGTACTTCTGCCTGCTATTCCATCTCTAAATTACTGTTTTCCTTTGGACTGTGGAGAGAAGGTTCCTGGCCACAAAAACAGATTGGCAGAGGATTTTTTTTCTCCTAGACGATTTTCAGATAATACTTTCTTTCTTTCTTTCTTTCTTTCTTTCTTTCTTTCTTTCTTTCTTTCTTTCTTTCTTTCTTTCTTTCTTT